TATGATGAAATTATATGGACATCCTATATTCGTGTTCCTATTCAACGGGCGTCCCCCTGGCAAAAGTATCACCTGAATTAATAAAATAATAACATTAAAGATGAGCACCTATAGCTATCATGAACATAAAATGTATATACACAATTGCAAAATGCATGCACATTTGCATATGAGCACTCTTATACGTATATCTATATATATATATATATATATATATATATATATATATATACATACAAATATATATATATACAGGGTGTTCAAAAAGTCCCGGTACGGGGGAATAACTCGAAAAGTAAGGGTCGGACAAAGAAACTTTTCGGACAAAAGTTGTAGGGCTTACTCCGAGCTTTTATCTCGTGACCTTGAGCTTGACCTTCAAGGTTATTTGAAGGTCAAAGTGTTTTTTTAAAATGGGAACCCCTATTTTTGATTGTATATTCTTATAGCTGACCTCGAGAGCTTTCCAAAACACTATAATAAAATATTTTTCCCTCAAGCATTTATCGAGTTATGAGGCTTCAAATCATTTCTTAATTTTACATAAACCGTAAAATATCTTGTAAAATATTCACTTTTCGATTATTTTACCTTAATACTTTTATGTACAAAATAATGAGAGGAATCAATTGGTCTAAAAAAAAACACATAATTGTTCCGAAGAAAAAATATGTAATTTGCAATCAACAATTACATATTTTTTCTTAAAAACAACTGTATGTTTTCTTTACACCAATTGATTCCTCTCATTATTTTGTACATAAAAGTATTAAGGTAAAATAATCGAAAAGTGAATATTTTACAAGATATTTTACGGTTTATGTAAAATTAAGAAATTATTTCAAGCCTCATAACTCGATAAATGCTTGAGGGAAAAATATTTTATTATAGTGTTTTGGAAAGCTCTCGAGGTCAGCTATAAGAATATACAATCAAAAATAGGGGTTCCTATTTAAAAAAAACACTTTGACCTTCAAATAACCTTGAAGGTCAAGCTCAAGGTCAAACTCAAGGTCACGAGATAAAAGCTCGGAGTAAGCCCTACAACTTTTGTCCGAAAAGTTTCTTTGTCCGACTCTTACTTTTCGAGTTATTCCCCCGTACCGGGACTTTTTGAACACCCTGTATATATATATATACAGTGATGGGAAAAAGTTCCGGGACGGCTGGATAATTTGAAAAATACGCATCACAGAGGAAAATGACCTAGACAAAAGTTGTAGGATTTTTCCCGGGCAATCCGACGGTGACCTTAGATTTGACCTTGGATAGTCATTTGAAGGTCACATAAAGATTACCTTCAATTTCTTAAATGGAACTCCCTATTTTTCATTGCATATTCTTGTAGCTTATCTCGAGAGCTTTCCAAAACACTATAATTAAGTACCTTTTTATTAAGTACTTTTTGAGTTATAAGGCTTGAAATAATTTCTTAATTTTACATAAACCATAAAATATCTAGTAAACCATTCATTTTTCGATTATCTTACCTTTATACTTTTATGTACAAAATAATGAGAGGAATTAATTGGTGTAAAGAAAACACATAGTTGTTTCTAAGAAAAAATATGTAATTTGCAATTAACAATTCCATATTTTTTCTTAAAAACAACTGTATGTTTTCTTTACATCAATTGATTCCTCTCATTATTTTGTACATAAAAGTATGAAGGTAAGATAATCGAAAAATGAATGGTTTACTAGATATTTTATGGTTTATGTAAAATTAAGAAATTATTTCAAGCCTTATAACTCAAAAAGTACTTAATAAAAAGGTACTTAATTATAATGTTTTGGAAAGCTCTCGAGATAAGCTATAAGAATATGCAATGAAAAATAGGGAGTTCCATTTAAGAAATTGAAGGTAATCTTTATGTGACCTTCAAATGACTATCCAAGGTCAAATCTAAGGTCACCGTCGGATTGCCCGGGAAAAATCCTACAACTTTTGTCTAGGTCATTTTCCTCTGTGATACATATTTTTCAAATTATCCAGCCGTCCCGGAACTTTTTCCCATCACTGTATGTATATACACATATATATATATATATATATATATATAGATACATATATATACATAAATATATATATATATATATATATATATCTACAGATACATATTTTAAACACATTATACAATAAAAATGCTGTAAAAGATACATTGAGCGCATATCGAGATATCAAAGAGCGTGACGCGTCGCGTGTTGCCCATCTTTCGGTAGGAAGGAGACAGAAGATTGTGTTCTGTCCTCTTCTATTATCCGAAACGCCGAGCTCACACGTACGCTTACGCTTCTATCCTCATTACCCCCTCCACACCGTGTTGCATGTTACTTGTGGCGGATATCTGACAGTTTTGCCCTAGATACGGCGCGTCGGGAGCGTCTCTAGACGCGGCGCGCCAGACGCGCGCGATAAGCGACGATCGACCCGTCGGACGCGCACAATAGGCGACCGCGGGCGCTTCCGCCGGCTCGCGTCGACGCGCGAGACAGAGAGAGAGATAAAATAGACGTTAATAAAAAAGTTGATATATTCGATGTACGTCTAGAAGAGATATAATATATAATATATTAAATGTATTTCGAGGAGGAAGGAATTCGTCGTAAGAGAAGAGAAATCGGATGCGTATCGAGGAGAGACGAGTGTGACGTAAATCGAGAGAGAGAATAAATTACATGTAAAATTTTTATTATCTCAAAATTACATGCGTAGATACACGTGGAGAATAATATTGGTATTCGCGATCGTTTCGTTTCATTCGAACGCAGTTATACGGGTAAGTATACGGTTTGAGATCGATATCGTAATCGCGATACATTTATTCATCGCGCGCGCGGACGACGGATTCGCGCGTAGAGTTTTACAAATTGTGATAGAGTCCGAATAGCAGAGCATGTAATTCGCAGTCAATCAGGTCGTTCGCGTTGAAGTACTCGTGTCGACGAATCGCGTCCGGAATATCGCCAGGGTGGTCGGTCTCCGTCGCGATATCTAGGAAACGTGATAACTTAGCGTCTACGGTCTCTAGTATGCTGGTCAACGACGCGACGATGCGATTGACGCATAGCTCGAGAGTGAACAGCGCCTTTACGGTGGAGTGCGACGTGGCTATGCGACTCTTTTGCGTTTCGAATCGCAACGTCTTTAGATTGTTTATCTTGCCGAATCGAAGTGTCACGGTTCCGACGATTATGGACGTCGGAGGGCGCGCTACAGCCTCGTCCAAGTCGTCCTCGAAATACGGCAGTATGTCGTTGCGCAGAGTGAGCAGATCTTTCCACATGTCGGGCATCAGAGATATCTCTTTTCCATGGCAGTCTCCTAGAACGATATCGACTTGAGATTCGCGCTCGACGGTGATGTCGATGTACTTGTACGCCGTCTTGGTCAGCGGATATCGTCTTCCCAATATGCGAATTGGATGTTTCGCGAAATTGATTTCGCGTTTGAACAGCCAATTTCTAGTCCACCTGTCGAGATCGGAGAAAAAGACGACGCTATTATACAAAATAGTCGATCGCGACGGAAATCGAAAACGCTCGGGCGAGGTAATTCGCGAAGCGTCGCGCATCTACTCACTCGTCCTCGGTGTACAGTCGAGCTTTCTTGATCATGGGCGGGGTGTCGGAACGATCGCGGGAGGTATCCTCGTCCTTGGCGGAAGCCGCGTAATCGTCTCGACGGTTACGGCGGGAGTGGCGGGGCGACGAAGGGGTCCGCCGTCGGCGGCGCCGACAGAATCGCGGGCGTCGCGGATGGATCTCCGAACACTCTGCGGTACTCCTGTCCGAGTCCCGCGAACATGATCGGTCTCGCGAACAAGGCTTCGATGTTCGTAGGAAAACACAGCGGCGGCGACGGCGTCGTTAACGTTGGTTATCGCGAGGAGAGAGAGAGAGATTCGTCGGAGACGCTCGCTTAGAATCGGACGCGCGTTAATCCTGAGTATCACTGGAAATGTCGCGCGCAGCGGTCGAGACGCGTCTTATATACGACGCGATCTCGATCGTCGTTTCGATATCTTTTTTTCTCGATGTACGCATTATGCGCGTTAATTAATGCAGCGGAAGCGGTTTAGAACAGCGGTTTAGAACAGCGTATTAACTGTAAGTTTAACGTTAGGTTCCAGGATTTCCTGATTTTAGTCGACGTCGTCGTCGTCATCGTCGTCGTCGTCATCGTCGTCGTCGTTGCACGGTCTTTCGAAGGATGCGTATTCCAGACGATACAGCTTGGAGACCAGTTCGCTCAATCGATGCAGAATGCCATCGGCGGGGCATTCTATTCCCAGTATACGAAGATCGAAGGGACCGGCCGAGATTATCGCGTCGGTGAATTCGCTGTACGCAAAATACACGCGTTTCTTCAGGAAATAGAGATTACCGTCGGTGTGGCGGAAGGCCGCTGTTATCGCGGATGATATCCCGGAAAACGTATCCCGCAGAGCACCGTGCCTCGTAGCGGTCATCGCGCAGTCGTTTATCTCGGCTATTTTATCGTCGTTGTATATGACGTAGCTGCGTCCAGCCTGCGTGTTTATCGCGGTGTTTATCCTAGCGTCGCGGGGAAATCCGACGTATTCGACGGATCTCGGCCATCCCGCTTTAAGATGAAAATTCGAATCGGCGAGGTAGACATAGTCGCCGGCGAATATCGCGATATTGCCCGAGGGTCTTTGATATATGGCCGATATGCGAGTGAGTTTGCGGGGGAGGAACTTGAAGTAGTCGGCAAACGAGAAGGACGCTCCGTAGCGTCTCTCCCTCATATCGATAGGCCACACGTTGCGTTTACGCATACAAGTGACGATTCATGATTAACGCTCCGTCTATACGCTTCAAGGCGCATAGATCTGCGGTATCGGTGTGAGCGAGCGGCGTCGTAGCCGTCCTCGTAGTCGTCGTTGCCGCGGTCGTCAGAGTAGCGCCGACGATCGTAGGATTCGTCGTCTCTCTCGATCCGTAGAAATTTCGCACGTTTATGACGTCCTCTATGCTCAGAGCGGATATTGCCTTTCCTCCGAAGGCGTATACGCGTACATGACCGAATCTTCCCTCAGACTGTGAGTCAGACCCAGACTGTGGCCGATCTCGTGCGTCAGCGTCTGAAGGAGATACAGCTTGTCCGACGGGGGCCTAGTCAACGTGATGTGCCACGGCTCCGTCTCGTCGACGTGTACCTCCGTCACATGATTGGCCATTCCCGTCGAAAAGAATGCGTGAGCGACGGCCGATCCCGGTCCCGTGAACGGCGACGGACACGAGTCCTCGTTGTCGCTGTTCTCGTACGCGTGAGCGCCGGATTGATAGGATATCAGTATATCGGGTCGCAGCGGATCGTGCGAGAACGTCATGGAGGATTGCTCGGACCACAGAGCGAACATGCGCAGAGTATCTCTGCTCGCTAGTCTGAAGTTCCACGTGAGATGCGTCTTCGGCCACTTTCTCGTCAACGGGCTGTAAGCGTGAATGTCTGCGACGCCGCATTGCGGCCTGCGCATGACGCGAATCATTTCCACGGTCAGAACGCCATTTCCCGGCAAACCGTAGTATTCCTGAAACAAGGATAGCGCTTCACTCAGGTTGGTCGCGTTATCCAATGACGACGACTGCTGATGATTCTCCTCGTTCTCCAGAAAGCTATAGGTTCGCAGATAACGGGACGCCTCCGCGACGTCATCGTCGGTCAGCGTCGCCGCGACGGCGACGAGCAGGGATATCGTCAGCGCGACGCGCGTCATGGCTCTCACGAGGGGCGAACGCGCGGGAGTCGGGACGGTAGCGAACTATCGCGCGCGCGCGCGAGTCCTTCAGCGATATATCGCTCCCCGAGAGCGCGAGGAAGCGTCGGACGAGAGGAGAAGGAGGAGGGGAGGGGAGATACGCGCGAGAAAGGCGATCGAAAGAATGAACGTTTGTTTTTTAAAAAATGATTCTTTATTTTTAGAAAAGTTTCCTCATCGTACGGGATGAGAGAGCGACCTATGTATAGTAAATGCGGTAGCGTTACATATACAGGAAGTAAAAGGACCGTGAGGACAACACTTGCTACGTGCTAAGTCATATGGAAGTTACCGGACCTATAAAACGGCCTATAAAATGACCTATAAAATGACCTATAAAATGATCCATATAATGACCTATAAAACGACCTATGAAATGACCCATATAATGATCCATATAATAACCTATATAATGACGTTTCGATCGATCGATCGAGCGAAAAGTCGAGAAAATTCATCGACGCATCCGTCGATCGAAGATCTAGCTTGGAACGCGCTACTAATAAAATGAGCGAAGTTGATTCTAATTCGAACGTTCGCGGAAGAGAACTAAGATACGAAGTAGCGAACAATATGAACTAAATAAATTGAAAGGAACGAGAATAATCGCAAAGCGCTGAACGAAGATTCGTCTTGCGAGAACGAGGATTCACCACCGTCAACGGAAGAAAAGAAAACTCTGCCAGATTTCCGAGATCGGGAGGGAAGGCGCTGTCCTTCGGCGTCGAGATCGGCGAGACGTCTGAAATATATAACGTCATATTAATAGATCGTATCGAGGTACGCGGAACGAAAGAGTAGCGCGTTAGGCGAAAAGAGATACGTATCTCAATTAAAACTCGTCGTCGTCCGTGTGGACTCATTTCGTCGATCGAGCTTATACCACCGTACCACATTTCTATGGGGAAATCGTCGTCGTTTTCGTAGAGATGTTCGGTCTTGAACGCGTGATCTGGGACGAATGGTTCCATGCCGAACAATCTTCGAAATATGTCGGCGAAGATGTTAGGCGCGCGCTTCTCCCATTTCTTGTAGGACGATCGGTCGCACCACAGTAAATCCAAGAATCGGCGTTGCGCCCGCCTTTTCCTCTGCATCCAACGCCGGCGGTATATGTTTACGAATCCTGTGATCTCGAGCTCCTCCTCGAACTGTAAAAAATGTCGCGCGATCAACGACTGTCCTATGTTTCTTCGAGGGAGAGTGAAGAATAAAGAATGATGATAAAAGGGTACTCACGTTCCACGTCACCGCTATGTTGAAAATCGCATCTATGAAACTTTTGATGTATTTTATTTTCCAGGCGTGCATCCACGTCGTGAACATGCATCTATCGAGCATTCTTCGCAATTTTGAAACTTCGTCATCCATCGTTCGCGCAAAAATAACGCTGAGAACACCGAGAACACTGAGAACAGCGAGTGCACTTAATAGCGCGATCGCAAAACTTGTAATAGAAAACTTTCTGAGGAAAAACAGTCTCTCGACGTTAATTTATATCTGCGATATTACTATCGTCGGAGGTATGAAAAAATAATGCAACGCGAAAATATAACGAGGTAATATAATGAGGCGCGATAAATGCTCCGGAGGAAGTGCGAGAAAATGCGTTTAACCGCGTACGCGCGATACGAGTTAACGTTTATTTGCTAATTAATATTATTTTAATAATATTTTTCTTAGTATTAATATTATTTTTCTAATTATTATTATTTTTCTAAGTATTAATATTATTTTTCTAAGTATTAATAATACTTTTCTAGGTTGGCGATAAGTCGACGCGCGAGATAAAAAAGTTAGTCGTTAATGTGTCGACAAGAGTATGCGTAAAACTAATCTACAATGCGGGAAACGCATAAAGCGCGATAAATTAGCCGTTAATAAGTCTATAAGAGTATGCGCAAAACTAATCTACGATGCGGGAAACGTACGAGGTGCGCGAATCATCACGCGTATACACGCGCGAGCGCGACGCATCTCTGTTCACATATTGCGTAATTGATCGCGTCTCTCCAACCATCAGTTGTGCAGTTTGCACACGTTTTCCAAGGCGCAATTCTTCGCGTGATAGGCGCAGCAATAGACGCGAGTCGAGGCTAACGTTCGCAGGGGTCCGATATCTTCGTAATCGGCGTCGATAGTCTCGATCGTCAGGTCGCGCTGCTCCGCGACCTCTCCCGCGATGTCGGTCAGCCACTTCTTCTTCTCGTGGCCCTTGACGAGATCATCACCGCGGCGTTCGACTCGAGATCCCTCGACGCGCGATATATCGCGTCGCGAACGATCTTCGCGTGCCTATACTCCACGTATCCGTCGGTCCAGTGGAATTCGTGATGATTCAGAGTCAGCCAACAGACCTGCGACTTCTCGCTCTTCGTCAGCAGATTCCACGACATCGGCGCGCGAAAGACATGATGCGTCATATCTCTGCCGTTCGCGAGTATCGCTATCTCCTTTGTCACGAATCGCTCGTTGACGACGAAGCTTTGCAGATCGACGAAGGTCGGCGGGGCGATATCGCCCATAACCGTCATCGCGGTCATCGTCGAGAAAGAGAGAAACTGACGTTTATTTGCGTCTCCCTCGACGTCTTCGCGGTTTCGAGTCTCCTCTCCTTCTCTCTCCCTCCATTCGACGCGTCGCCTTACAGGACCTTACGCACGATGTTCGTCAGCGGATTGTACCCCACCACGCGATCGTGAATGATGAGACAGTACGCCGTGGTGTTAGAGGGAACGTTGTCCTTGCAGTCGAATTCCAGACGAACGTCTACAGTGGAGCTCTTAACCGCTTCGTTTTGGCGGGAACAATCTATTATCACGAGCGGGCCGCAGTGTAGAAATTTGTTCATAGTCAGGAGCGTCTCGTCGCTCGCGGATCCGTAATACGTTCGTCGAAATCTCGCTTAGGCGTACAGTATGGCGATCTTGTTCTTATCAAAGTCCAAATTTATATCGTCGTACGAATAGAAGTCGGAATTGAGATACAACTTTACGTTGGTCAGATTGCATGCGTCGAATCTGGAAGCGTCCTGCGACAGGACTTTCTTCCTTCCGGTCTGTAACGCGAAGATGACGTAACGCGGTTTCTCGAGCTGCATGGCCGCTTTTACGGCCCACGAGTGTTTAGTCGTGCTCTGCAGGAGCAGAAACTCGTAGAGATCCCACGAGCGGAAGGGCGCGCTCAGATATCGGCCGCTATCCAACGCGCGCAACAGCGATAATTTATTGATGTTATTCAACACCACGTGCGGCACGCGTCACTGTATCTTCGTGAGTTCGACTCTAGGTTCGTATTCCTCGCGCGATATCAGACAATTGTTGTCGTTTCGCGCTCTTATCAGAATCAGCTCGTGACAACGCGTCTGTAATCCTCGCAGAAACTCAACAGCGTGTCGAGAGGAACGCAGAAGTTGAAGTCGTCCGTTGCCGCGACGCCGTTCGGTTCAGCCGCGAGATCCCATCCGACGTTCTTCAAGATCTTACCTCGTTCGGCCGTCAACGACGCGTAGTTCTTGATCGTGCTAGTTATTCCGACGTTGCGATTACGATCGATCTCCACGCCATCGAGTTCGTAACGTATCTCCTCGAGCATAAAAGCGATGCAGTTCACGAGCCACGCCGGTCAAGGACGCTGACGGCTCCTTAGAGGCGGAACCAGGCTTACCCGATTCGCCGCTCGACGCGGGCGGCGGATTATTCTTCGTCTGTAGTCTACCTTCAACGTAGAGGAAACTCTGGCAGCGTGTATCTGTCTTGCTGTTGTATGGGTATTCGTATCTCGTCGTTGTATCCGAAAGTGGTGTTGGCGTACGGATTGTACGTGTGATTCTCGATCTTCACGATGCGATCGTCAAAGACGGGTTCCCCACCGATGCTCAGAATGTCTCATGTCGTCGAACTATCGCGCGGCTCTCGGTACGACGAAACCCATGGATCGCAGAAAAGCGGCGTTGGCGGCGGACAACCCCCCGACGTTCCTCTCCCTCGAGCGTGCGACTCGAGTTCCCGCGACGCGATTACGGTCACCGCTGCTGCCGCGATGCGACGTCGTGGCGTTAGATTCGTGCACGACGAGCATCGCCCTATTCCCTCCCTCGTCCTCGTATCTCGCCGCGTTCGTCTACGTCGCACGTGCAATCGAATCGAGATCTCCTCGCCGCGGAAATCGATCAATCGACCGTCCTGATCGACGACGCGCAGCGATACGTCGGTCACGAGTCGCGCGATGACCGGCAGATAAATGATCTGCCTCGGGATCTCCGATACTTTATATCCCGGCGGAACGTTCAGCGCGAATTCGTGTATCGCGTGGGCGGATCTCCCGTTCACGTACGCACCCGTCTTCATGTTGCACTCTACGCGAATTGTGTTAACCGTGATAATGCTCACGGGCTCGTCGGACGCGTACCATTTGTTCGGTTGCAATACGCGAGACGGGGAAAAACCTAATAACGATATTGTCCGGTTTGCTGAAATTAATTCGATACGCGCATTTGATTTCACTTCTCATGGTATTGTCGTTACCGCGTAGCGCCAGAACGCTCTCGCCGCCCCCGCCGCTCTTGTTCTCATCGTTCTCGATGTCATACTAGATCGTTCTAGATATTCGTCATCGTCGTCGTCGTCGCTGGCACCATCGCCGCCGTCGCTCCCCGCGCTCAGTGGCCGCCATTTTCGAAGAATCGCGGCTCTCAGGTACGCTTATGTCGTGCAGCTCGTACGATCCGATCAGGATCGAGATTGTCTCGTCGTTATCGTTGAAGTAAAATTTATTATTCTAGGAATTCACCGATTTTTTCGGAATCGTGTTGTAAGTTTCGAAATTGATCAGACCGAGCTCGTAATCGTCGTCGCTCAGATCGAGGGGCGGAAAGTAGCTCGCCGTGAGAACGTTGCTTCTTCCGGTCAGCGTGAGAATCAGCGACATGATGGCGCGCGCGATCGCCGTTAGAGACC